TGTGTTTTCTTTACCAAGAAAGTGGCAAGATGAAAACCACTATTTTCTGTTTCAAACTTTCACATAGCATATTTAGGTTATAATAACATTAAAAAAATCAAATCCAGATTTTGATTTACAAAGATTTATTATAAAAACTGATTATTTTTCCCCAAATGCAATAAATCCATTGAATCAACATAAAAGTTATTTTTCATATTGAAACTGTTGAAAATACACAACAAAGTAAGTTGATCCACATATGACAGCCTCTGAACTTGGTCAATACTAATCTTATTAATAGCTTACGTTTCTTCCCCACCGCAGAAACCACCACAGGTTCATCAATGCCATCAAAATTATTCATTTTTTTTAGGGCTACACGATAAATTGCATGCGATTGTCATGCGCATCTCGTCAGTAAAGCTGGTTCTGTGATTAGTAGTAAATCTCCATCACGGGCTTTCAGATGGAGCGGCATTTCATACACAGAGCCGTTGTTCACTGACAAGCTACGCAATATCACGTTCATAATCGAAGGCGATTCATCTGTGATTATGAACGCGATATTGCGTAGCTTGTCAGTTACTGTTTACAATGCGTGGAATGGTGCGCTGTGATTGGTTGAGCGGATGTATCGCATTCTGCAGAGAAGGGAGACTGGCGTTTGTTGCGGTTTGGAAAGATAGGGAGAAAACATGACAGAATAACACAGCGGATACCGCATTTTGCGCAAAATTTAAAAATGACTTTTCAATACCGACCAGATACAATACTGATTTTGGCAGGAACTCAGTTTTTTTTTAAAAAATGGCGTTTATCGCGTTTTGGAACCGAACTCTTCATATTCTGTTCCTTAAAAAAAACTGCACATGCATAGTTAGTCTTTTCATATGTTTCATATTTCAGGGAAATCACTCAACTGACCGGTGAAATTATAAGTGGGTTTGAGTTTTTACCTGCATCATTAAGGCCTGGGCCAAAGTATGGATAGAGATTTTCAGTGAAAGTCTGACCAGTGAAAGAGTAGATATGAGAGCTGGAGCCCACGTCATAAAACGAGACCAGACCCTCCTCATAATCCACAAACACTCCCACCTTCTCAGGTGTCTTTGTGTGAGAGAAAGCAACTGCTGGATTATCACAAGCTATACACTGACTCTGATTAATCGATATCATTGACCAGAGACCATCCTCAGGGCTCGGACTAATGTCCCGCTTCCTCTTACAGAGTCACATCCACTAGATGAGAGATTAGACATTATCAATCAACTTCATCAACAAAACATTTTCATATGTTTATAAAGCAGATTATAAATTATTTTAAGTGTATTGAAGAAATTGGTGTCAGTCATACTGTACCTACATACTTCTGTACACACCCCAACCCTGTGGACACAGATGGCATTATAATGTGACTAATTCTGTATTGTAATATTTCAGATAACATTGATTTTATCTCTATTTACTGTGAAAACAAACCTATTGAATCTACTCAAACTTGACAATTTGCACTCAGTTTGTTAGATTTGGTAGATTTTATCCCATGTGTTGAGTACCTAATTTTAACAGCTATGGCACATTAAAATACATTTGATAACGTCTACCTAACATTTGTCAATGCTTTACACAATTAATTGCTGACAAAAACTACCTAACTCCTTAATGCTGTTATCGTATGATTGGTAAGGTTGAAAAATCAAGCATCGCGTTAGTTCAGGCAGGCCACGTCAGTCAAGCTCGCATCAGCTGTTCTTGACGTGTACCAATCCAGTTTTGACACTTGTCACTGCGGTCCATTTAAATTCCCATTCTCCGGCATTTCTTCTATCGCATCGCTGTTAGCAAATCAACTCCCTCCTCCAACCCCAACTCCACCTAACTGAACCTGTAATCTAATCAGATTTTTTTTCTCCTCTCTTCTTCATATACAGTTCATTATTGCAAGCATTTTCTATCATGTATTTTGTATTTTCTACAACTCATGTAAATTGTAAATTGTAATTATTTATATATATACTGAATCTGTTCTGTACCCCAGGGGGGTTTGACTTGCTGCTCTCCCTGCTCTGTCCAAGCATGGCTGCATGGACAGGCGTGGGGAGTTTTGTCCAGAACAGAACCATACTGGCAACACTAACTGTATGCTATATAATTATACTTTGACGAAGTGGACCTGACTGAATTGGTATGAATCTTTAGCAGATGTCGTAACATATGTCCTGAAATGACATGTCTACATAAAAAAATGCAGCCAAAAATGGCCAGCCGTTACAAAAACCAACCTTACGAAAATGAACATATTCTTACTTTGTGTGAAAATGAGTATGTGTACCAAACAATATATTTCAGCCAATATATTTGTTAGGTCTGGCCCATAATGACTAGGTCATATATGCCTGTATTGTATGTGTGGACAAAGTACAAACATATCAAAAATTGTGTATATGTAGAGATACGGTCACTCTGAAGTAAAATAAGTTGGCTGAGCTTCACAAAATAATGTTGTCCAACAGGGGAGCTATTCTCGCTGTAGTATTGTTGTTGCCGCCGCCACAATGTCGTGAATGCGCTGTGTGATTCATTGTGAAAGCAAAACTACTTTATTAGGCCTTTCCAAAGAGGACGATATCCGCTTCATCATGCCTGGAGCTGATCCGTGCTGGTTGCTGAGGAAATACATCAACTTCACGCTGTGGATCACCAGATCGGCTTTCACCGTGGACGAAGCGGAGTCCAGGGGCCTTCATTTGATACAGGAACTATTCGTTCATGCCAGACTGGGGAGAGAGGTGTTGTAATAATGTAAAATATGTGAAAAATAATGTGTTTTTCGAACAACCTAGTATGAGAGCATGTTCTAGTACACCCCCAAAACAAAATCAAGACTTTGTAAAAGAGCATAATAGGACCCCTTTAAGTGGAGATTCCAAGACTGTTGACTTTGCAGTAAAAACAGTAATTATATTAGAAAAGATAAATATGGCAGAACTTCTCTGTTTTTCTACACTGTACTTGATGATGTTCACATACCAGTTTGACTGAGTTTTTTATTTAGAGCCTTGTGAGTTTTCTTCAGTTGTGTCAGAGCTCTATGCAGAGGGAGCACATTCACATCAGAGTCAATCCTGATCTCAGTCCAGTTCTTGGTGTGTGGATGACTGCACAGAGATGAGTACATCTACAGCAAGAGAGAGAAGACTATTACATATGGAATTTGTTTTTCTATTTTTAATTACGCTAATTCAAGATGCTTCATTCATTCAAACACAATTAAGGCAAGCCGCCCCAGGTGATTAGGGTATCCAAAGTATGGATATTACCTTTCGTCCTCAAAATAATTGCAAAGTTCATAATTCTTGTTTTATACTGTTGAAATATTAGAGTTAAAGGATTTTACAAATGAGATTTTGGATTTCTATTTGAATCATTCCATAAATCAGAAAATAATGTCAACAGCCAAAATAAAATACTTTTTCACCATGCTGTTATGAATAAAATGTCATATAAAATCAGGTGAACAAACCCCACTGTAAAACCCTTCAGAATATAGATAGGAATAAAACTGTAAAGTTTGGTGTGTGTAAGTGCTGCTGAAGAGATTTTTGACTCCAGGGTGCCAGGGTTGTTATAGTTAACTGAAACTAAAACTATTTAAAAAATTGTTACTTGAGTAACTTAACTAAAACTTATGTTACTGTTATGGTGAATGACGTCAAGTTGACCCTTCGAATATGGCGGACGGCTTACGTATAGTGGCCCATAGAAGCAGTCGCTAATGAGGCATCTACATATATCTATGGAAGGAATGCCATTCCAGAGCGGAAGCAAACGTTCAGATTTTGATATTTTAGATTTTTTTCAGTGGATTAACTTGCACGGATACATTGTTCACCTCAAGACTAGCAATGGACGCAAACAAAATTAATTTTGTAAATTTTAATTTCATGCAGATTTTAACAAATGATATTCTGCATTCTCACTAGGGATGTTAATGATTCACTCAACTCACGATGCGATACGATTCACGATACTGATTTCACAATACGATTTTCTCACGATTTTTTTCCCCCAACCAAATTAGATTTAAGACCAATTATAAATGAAAAGGTGTCCTTTTATTATTGCTTCGACAAAATGCTGCACATTTCTTTGTGAAATTGTCAAATAACAAAACTAAATTGAAATTTTAAAACAAACCCCAAATCTAATCAAATAAATAACACAAAAAAACCTCTTCATATAAACAAAGGCTTTGCCTGTGGTCTTTTCATTCAAAATGAGAGGCAACCAATGCATTTGAATCACAATCCAAACAAAGATGCTGAATACATGCAGCATGAGCAGCTTTTTAATCTACATTAGATTGTTTAATTTGACATTTTAAAACAAAAACAGAATGCTGTGACTTTAGTTTTGTGATACTATACTACATAAAACATCTACACGAAACAAAGACAGCAGGAGGCGCTTATGGAACAGCAGCGATACAGCATTTCCTTGACTACCGCTGTAAACAAAGCAGTGCTGCGCTAATGAACACTACTTTAATATGCATTATACAAAGACGAGATGAAAAGGAAATACCATCTAAACTTTCCTAAAGACAGTCAGTTCCCCTCAGAGATACATTCATATAAACTCCCACCCCAAATGTATCTCAATTCGTTTAACATCTCAAAACGATTTGAATCATCACATATTTATATCGATGTTCAACCGGCTTGCGGTGCATCGTTACATCCCTAATTCTCTCTGATGAGGCAGATGTTGACAGACCTGCAGGAGGTGCAGATGATCGTCAGTGTGTGAGAGCTGCTCCATCTCAGTGTTTCTCCTCTTCAGCTCAGTGATTTCCTGCTGCAGCTCTTTAATGAGATCTTCAGCCTGTTTCTCTGCTGCTTTCTGCTGTTCCTCCATCATCTTCAGTAGCTCAGACCGACATCTCTTAATGGAGCGGATCAGATCAGTGAAGAGCTCAACACTGGCCGATTTCTCTTCCTCTGTGTTCCTCTAATGAATGAGATCAATTAACAGGCTCATCTATTATGTTTATATGTACTGTATATTTAAAGGGTTCACTCAAAAACGAAAATGCTCTCATCATCTACAGACATGTAATGTGAAATGTGTTTATCCATTTAATTCAGAACCTTTATTAAGCAGATTGAAATACACTGCTAAAAAAAATTAAGGGAGCAAGTAATTGTCACGGCCTGGGATAAATGGAGGACTCAGATGCAGAGGAGTAGTGAGAGAGGAGATCAGCTCGTGATCTGTGCACTCCCGCTGCAAGATCAGCACTGATTGCCCAGACCACGAGCTGCTGAAAATGACAGGGCAACACAGACAACAAGAGGAGCCGAGAAGGCACCCTGAACCGTGATAGTAATCATCACAGTGTAACACCAAGTCAATTAAACTTCTGGGATATTAATCTGTCCAGTTAGGAAGCATAAGTGATTGTGAATCAGTTTCTCCTGCTTAGGTGGAAATGAAAGTGACAACATGTGCACTGGAGAGGCAACAACAAGACAACCCCCCAAAAGGGATTTTTTTTTTGCAGGTGATGGCCACAGACATTTGCTCTCTCCTTGTCCTTCCTTGTCTCTTGGCATGGAGCATAGAGGACATACCGGGAGACAGGCCGTTACATGAGGAGAGCTGGACAGGTTTGTAGAAGGGAAACAACCCAGCATCAGGACAGGTATCTGCTCTTTTGTGCAAGTATGAACAGGAGAAGCACTGCCAGAACCCTCCAAAATGACCACCAGCGGGCTACTGGTGTGCATGTTTCTGACCAAACTGTTAGAAACAGACTCCATGAGGGTGGCATGAGGGCCAAACATCCTGTAGTGGGACCTACACTCACAGACCAGCACTGTGCAGCTCAATAGGCATTTGCCAGAGAACACCAGAAATGGCAGGTCCTCCACTGACATCCCGTTCTCTCAGATGAGAGCAGGTTCAGACTGAGAACTTGTGACAGACATGAAAGTGTCTGGAGATGCCGTGGGGAATGTTATGCTGCCTGCACCATCATCCAGCATAACCGTTTTGGCGGTGGGTCAGTAATGGTCTGGGGAGGAATATTCTTGGAGGGTTGCACAGATCTCCATGTGCTCTAGCGGTACCCTTACTGCTGTTACGTACTGGGATAAAATCCTCAGAGCTGCGGTCAGACCTTACACTGGTGCAGATGGCCCTGGGTTCCTCCTGGTGCATGACAATGCCCGGCCTCATGTGGCCGGAGTGTAAGGCAGTTTCTGGATGATGAAGGCATTGATGCCCTTGACTGGCCCTTGTGATCCCCAGACCTGAAGCCAAATGAGAACCTCTGAGTTGTTAGGTATCAGAGCATCCAAAGCCGGCAAGTAGCACACAGGCTGTCCAGGAACTCTGATCTAGGTCTGGGAGGAGATCCCAGAGGACACCCAGCCTGTGCCCTGCAGTGTTTGCCCACGGTTCTGCACTCTTATTCCAAAGCACCTAGTGGCTTTCCCAGTGGCTCTGGTTGTGGATCTGATAGCCTTTCTCTTTGCCTAACTGGTGTTGCCTAGTAGTGTAAACCAGTGGCGAGCGGTAACTTTCTCAACCGGGCATACTGAGTGCTAAGATTAAGATCCCCCCTCCTAGGGATGGGCGATATGTTATCGTTTGTGATATACCGTTAAAAATTCTCCTCACGATAAAAATTTGTCTCCTCGCGATAATAACGATAAGCCTAGTTTATGACGTAGTTCCGTTCGCGACCGGAGCGATAACAAGCATGGCGGAAGGCGGACGTGAGGCTGAAGAGGAGCTTGTTGCTAAGCGAGGAGCTACCTCCACAATTTGGAACTGGTTTGGTTATAGAAAATCAGATGCGGAGCAAACGACCGTAATATGCAAGGTTTGCAGAAAAACAGTGGTTACAAAGAGTGGAAACACGTCCAATTTGTTCCACCATCTCAAACACAAACCAGAGTACGACGAAAGTTTGAAGATTCGCGAGGAGAGGGAGACACCGACTACAAGTAACGTTAGACCTAAGGCTAAGAAAATTCCTACTCAGACGAAAATTGCCAGTGCATTTGCTAATTGTGTTCCTTATGATAAGCAAAGTAAACGGTGGAAAGAATTGACAGAGGCAGTGGCGTTTTGTTTGGCAAAAGACATGTTGCCATTCCAAACTGTCAAAAAAGAAGGGTTCAAGCGAATGATCCATAAACTGGACCCAAGATACAACATGCCTACAAGGAAGTATTTTTCCGAAACAGCCCTGCCAGCGATGTATGAAGAGTGCCGTGGTAGGGTACAAACAACACTGTCTACGGCAGATTTTTATGCCTCAACTACAGACCTGTGGAGAAGCCTAGTGAGCCGTACATTAGCCTTACAGTCCATTGTATAACGAGTGACTGGAGTTTGAACAGCTGTTGCATCCAGACAAGTTTTTTTCCAGATGACCACATGGGTGAGAACATCATGAGTGGCTTGAAGCAGTTTCTTCAAGAATGGAATTTAGACGAGGTGAAACAGGTGTGCCTAACAACGGACAGTGGAACCAATATAGTAAAACCAGTAACTCTAAACATGTGGACAAGACTGTCTTGCTTTGGCCATTGTCTACACATTGCTATTGGTAAGTTTAATCTTTCTCTCTTAGTGTCAGTATATTTTATGCATGCACACTGAGCAAACATGAGCTTAATATTTACTGTATTTATGTATTTGTTTCTGCATTAGTAATGTAACTGCATGCAGTATTTTGAACAGGAAATCATTACATTAGGTAATATGTATATGTGACCCTGGACCACAAAACCAGTCATAAGGGTCAGTTTTTTGAAACTGAGATTTATACATTATCTGAAAGCTGAATAAATAAGCTTTCCATTGATGTATGGTTTGTTAGGATAGGACAATATTTGGCCGAGATACAACTATTTGAATATCTGGAATCTGAGGGTGCAAAAAAATAACAATATTGAGAAAATCGCCTTTAAAGTTGTCCAAATGAAGTTCTTAGCAAAGCATATTACTAATCAAAAATTTCGTTTTGATATATTTACAGTAGGAAATGTACAAAATATCTTCATGGAACATGATCTTTACTTAATATCCTAATGATTTTTGGCATAAAAGAAAAATCAATAATTTTCACCCATAACGATGTATTTTTGGCCATTGCTAG